ATATAATCGTAGGTGCACATAGGTCATTAATTAGTAGCGAAATTTTAAAAATGAATTAATAGTGTTTTTATTCCTTTCACTAGCTTACGAAAGCAAAGGGTATTTGTTCGAATCCATGAAAAAATTGTCTTACTTGTATGCTTTAATTATACTTTTAAACAAATCTATTAGTTTCCAAAATGGATAAAATATTACGCATTGTATACAAATCAACAAATGGACTGAATATATTATATACCAGTAGCAACCTGTTTCATAAGACGATTTGAGTCAGGTCCTATATAGGTCAGTCGGGCAAGACGAAATTGCGAAATAATCAATAAACATTTTAATAAACCAGGAAATGTCCTAAATATCTATACCAGTGACGTTTGTGGATAGGGTACCCTAATGCCTCAATAACTGTTGGTGATTACTGCATAATAATCTATTAAATAAATGACACTTCATTTCTTCTTTCTACGAGTACAACTATTAAAATAATCATTGCAAACTACCGCAAAGCGATCAGAATGCCTACGACAATCTACCATCAGTATGATTATTGTATTGAATGCTGATGTGAGCTTCAAGCAATATATGTTAGTTATATAGTTACTCTGCTCAAAATTGATTTTAAGCATATAGTTTAATGTATATATATGCTCTTCGATTTAGTTTTGAGTAGCTATTTATAAATATTCTGTAGATACCTTCTGCTCAAAAAGTACTCGAATTTTATAAATAAACACACAAATTTAAATTTTATTCCATTATTTATTTCATCTCCTTCAAAATATGCTCCTTCTGAAGCGATACACATATGTCAACGCTTAACCCAATCTTCCATACACTTTTCGTAGGCCCATGAAGGTATGGCTTTTAGTTTCTTCGGCGAATTCTCTTTTACCGATTCAATCAACTCAAAACGCTTACCACGAAGGGGCAATTTAAGTTTCGGGAACAGAAAAAAGTCGAACGGATCAAGATCTGGCGAATATAGTACCTGAGCGATAACAGTGGTGCCGTGTTTGGTCAAAAAATCGCGTTCAACAAAAATTTTCCATAGTAAAAATCGCTAAATATACTTGAGGTGGTTTCACATTAACAGCTACTGTAAACAAACTAATTGACAGATAGCGTTCAAATTTGTACCATATGTCAAGAAAGGGTGTACCAACATAACAAAAAATTTTTAAAAAAGATCTATTACTTAAGGAGTAGTTAACAAACAACAAAATCCTTTTTTTACTTTTTGAGCAGAAGGTATAGGTAGTTTAGTTCTTTATTTATTTATTCAAGAAGTTCTTATATTAATTTCTTCAAGAATATTCCCTAAAACCCAATATTTCTATATCCATCTATTTTTTTTTGCATATTTTTCATTTATGTGATAATAAAGTTTATCAAAATTATGTTAATTTTTTTAAACTTAGGCAGTGAAAGTGAAAGCATCAAAGCATTAAATTAACAGGCATCCATAATAAGATCCAAGAACTTCTAAGTATACCTGATCTAAATAGACAACTTAAACGGAAAAACCCAGTAACTTGGTGGGCAACAAAAGAAACTCTTGTTAAAACTATAAATCACTTAAGTAGAGTAATTAAGATTTTAAGTATGTAGTCCGAAAAACAAATTATTTCTTACTAGCTTTAAATATTTAAAATTTTTTTTGTTTTTTTTATATTTTTGTTAATGAGCAACATTGACAGACGACTGAAACTTCAGACAAAACGTCTATTAATTGTTTACTAAAATTGCTTAACATCTTGGATTTTATTTATTTGATTAAAGGTTTTATAGCTACTCGCTTGCACAAGCGACTAGTGTTGTACTTTCGCATGGAGCTTAAGAAATTTTTATAAGAGACTTCAACATTAGATTAAAGATTAAAATAAAAATCTTTAAATATAGCTAAAATAAAATTAGTAAATATATAATCATTATTAATAAACCGATATATAACGACATGATATATAAAAAACTAAGACGAATTTTTCATCTGGTGACATATTAGTATGAAATATTTATTCCTATTCTCAACTTAATATAAGCAAAGTTATTAAGTTGGTATAATGTATGTTTATATGGTATAATGTTTGTGGTATATCATAAAATATACCTACAAACGATATAATAGCATTTTCATTTCCGTTGCATGGGCACTTCAGTTCACTCTATTAAAACGAGGAAGGAAGCATAAACAAAATTTCCATTGTTTGCGAATGCAAATATGGGTGTTGTCCCTGGCACTCGTAACACCATGTACTTGCAGTTTTCATTTTGATATTTCCATTTTCGTTATTAGCTTCACTCCCTCCTTACCTTGCTTGCCTCACATTGCTAAATGATAGGGAAAGCATAGCAACAACGTATAGAGTGGCTTGTACCAAATTTGTGGTAAAACAAAAAAAAAAATAATAAAGTGGATTCATGACACAAAAAAAAACAAAAAAAATTTGGTTAAAGGTGAAAGCATTGCACTTGTTTGCATTCTAAAGGATAGAAAGGGATGAACTATATATACAATCAAGTATGAAGACTGGTACTAATATATGAAAAATTATATAAATGTAAATTTGTAGATAATTGAAAATAATTAATGTATATCCATTTTCCAATTTAATTTAAAAATTTAAAAAAATTAAATATTTTAGTTTCATGCAGTTAATGGTAAAACATAAATAATTGGTATGAATCATGGATATAATAGAACATACCTAAGTTCATTTTTATGAAGATTATACGGAGTATCTATAACTTCTCATTTGGGTTATTAATATAAAGAAGCGTAGAGAGTATGATCTAGAAATTCAAATTTGTCCTCTCCAAATCCTTCAATGATCTATTTATTAATTATTGGATTTTTTAAATTTATCTAAGTCTTCTAACGAACTTATCAAATAATAATGCAATGAATTTCTTATAACACAAATGCATGATTTGACTTAAATTCTCTCAATTTTTCTGTTTCCCTTTTAAAAAAAAAATGTTCAGCTTTTCAGCACTATTTTGATTTTTCGATAACGATTTTAGGTAAATATAAATGTTAAAAAAGAAAAATCCACTAATTGTAATTGGTGAAAGCGCCATCTATATAAAAATTTCCAATTTTACAGACTGATGTTTCGAACACTGAGCTATATTGATATACCTTCTGCTCAAAAAGTACCCGCATTTTGTTGTTTGTGAACTACTCCTTAAGTAATAGACCTTTTTCAAAAATATGTTGGTACACCCTTTCTTGACATATGGTACAAATTTGAACGCCATCTGTCAATTAGTTTGTTTACAGTAGCTGTTAATGTGAAACTACCTCAAGTGCATTTAGCGATTTTTACTATGGAAAATTCTTGTTGTACGCGATTTTTTGACCAAACGCGGCACCACTGTCATCGCTAAGGCATTATATACGCCAGATCTGGCGCCGTGCGACTTTTTCCTGTTCCCGAAACTCAAATTGCCCCTTCGTGGTAAACGTTTTGAGTTGATTGAATCGGTAAAAGAGAATTCGCCGAAGGAATTAAAAGCCATACCTTTATGGGCCTACGAAAAGTGTATGGAAAATTGGGTTAAGCATTGGCATACACATATGCTTCAGATAGAGCATATTTTGAAGGAGATAAAATAAATTTGGAATAAAATTTAAATTTGTGTGTTTTATTTACAAAATCCGAGTACTTTTTGAGCAGAAGGTATGGCGCTATTGACTTCCCGTTATTTGTGAAATCAATATTTAAATTGCGTGTACTAGTTAAAAGTGGACGATTGTAGTTGACGATGTAGTTTTCGTTAGTGTAATCCATGTAAAATATTGAAATCTTTAAATATCGACATTTCGAGAAGTAAGCTATATTGAAATATAGTGCAATGGAAAGAGTAGAGTGCATAGCTAATTCCACTAGAAGTCATTGTTAAATTACAGTGTTGGGGAAAGTAAAATCGGTTTAGTCTTTCTTATGATCCTACAAAACTAGCTAATGGAGTTTAGATAATCTTGATCGCCACTTACACGTGGATTTTTTGATAAGTCGGCCATAAATGCAAAAAAAAAAAACTATTACATATTTGCTACTTGTCACAATGGGTCAGTTTTTTATACCTTTTATGATGTGTTAGTTACAATGATAACATTCGAGTTTTATTAAAATTTCTTTCCACCACAACATTTCTTTAATATCAGAAATAAAAAATTTCAGGTAGAGTTAAATTGAGAGAATATGCTGGAGAGAATAACATAAATCGCATAAAATCGCATATACTTCACAGAAAACTTTTCTTCTATTTGTCAAGTTTTGAATGATTTGAAACTTCAACTATGTTACAAGAACATAATTTCTACCTTTCTTAAAATTCGACAAATTTCAACAACACTAAATTCAAGAAAATTGAAGAAAGATCGACTAAGAATCATAAGTTAGTTTCTATATTCCTATAGAGGAATATGTATATATATAATATCCTATATATATATAATCCTTATATTACCTTGCATTGTACCCAACATGGGTTTTCATACTGCAACCGAAGAGTTAGACTATCATTTGATGACTGGTTCTTATACTTACTGTACTATTACTCATTAATTCTTTTCTTATCATTTCATTACGAGTATTTATTATCTATTCTAATCACAATTAAAGGATTTTGACTTCATAGCAACGGTCTTAGTTATTTCAGATTCAGCATATTTGTAATGATATCTGACTTTTCTAGACAATAATCCAAGCAAAGCAAAACAAAATTTTTCTACTGTTTTTAAAAATATTTATTGAAAATACAGTTAATATATATACTATCATGTTTTGTACTAAGTTTAATAATACTAGGAAGAAAAGTTGTAACAAAGATTACTTTAATCAAATACAAAATTTACTTTGCAATATATAAAAGTTTTATTTTACAATCAGAATCCCATCAAATAAGATGGCTCTGGATATAAATATGAATATCCTATGGATATTATTAGTAAAAGTCAACACTTTCACTCATTATTTGGTTTTATCATTGGAGTTTTACAAAAAATCGTAATAGGTATAATGGTTTGCCATAACTTAATTGATTTTATGTTTGTCAAAAACTTAAGAGTTCTTCTATGATATCACATTTTGCCTTTTTCCTTTCCCATACTATGAGAAAGATCAATTAAATTCATTAGATAAGGCATTCATAATAGCCATCCGCACGTGTAGCTTGCGGTTACTGGGTACTTTTCGTAAATGTGGCAAAATACTGATAACAAAATGATAATCTTCATCTTGTACTTGATCTGTATTTAACTGAATATCCTGAGCCACCTCTGCCACAGAAGTATTTGTATCAACTATTGATCTTTCATTAATGTTGCAATGATTGAAGCTTATTTGCTGAGGAAGTGTGATTTTTGAACTTTGAGAAGTTACAGTGTCATTACGTAGCATTTCTTGATTCCCATTATTTGAAGCCTCGGAAAACGTATTATCCATTCCTTTTGAAGAATTATCAATTTCGATTTCTTCTATTTCGTTTGGATTTTCTGATTTTATACACGCTTCATCATCAGAGCTTAAGTCAATTTCAATTTTAACCGTGTTGTCTACTCTTTCGACTACGCTAACGTTTTCCAACACTTGGGGAATACATTCTGACGCATTAAGGTTAGCTGGTTTTAGCATAGATGAATAATTGACGATTGAAGTTGTCGTATATTCTTCGGTCAAGTTTTGATTTGATGTATTAAGATTTTCTATCTGCTCTAGCTGTTCAGGTTGGGGGAATATCAACATAGAAGACTGTAACAAAAGATTTTTGTCGGTGGTAGAATTTTGAGTCTCTAATGAAGAATCGCATGACTCATCATTATCACTTTCAGCTGATGATAATTCGGAATTTTTGCCTTGTACTCTTATCATTGGACGTAGAAAATCCATTTCGTTACAGAATTTCCATTTTCTCTTTGCACCACCTTTTATTGAACGTTTCAAGTCACGACGATATTGATCACGCAAGTTTCCCCAAATACGACGGGCCTTATCATCTAAAAATAAAAAAAGAAAATAATTAAAATACCAACCATGAAGTAAAATTTTAATACAAAAAATGTGTTGAAGATGGCAACAGACACCGATTCAGTAAATAGCAGCCCACTTTATATGTATGATAATACAATACAGATTTAATAAAATTATATAGAGCACAAATAACAGTACCATTGGAGTAACATAATGGGCTAAATTCTATTATAATTTATACTAAAACTGACTCGCATATATATGTAAAATTATACTACATATTCTTTTTAAAAAGGAATAAAAATGTCTGCACTTATTTAGATTTGGAAAATAACCTTCTCCGCTTCGAAACCAAGAAAGTGCTCACGAATAATATTTTATGTTATATTCCTCTCACTTTAAATACAACGTAAACCAAACATATATTGATACCCCACATTAGAGTTGAAATGGCAACAGGACAAAGATTAAAGCTACATTATTATATATTAAAGATATTCAACTTGTAATTAAAATTTTTTGTTAATATGTAGTGTATTTTAATTAAAGAAACTGAGAATTATAAGTTATGCTGAAGTTAACATGCATTCGTGTAATATTATATTTTCTTATGAAGAGGAAATAAATACGTATGCATTTATTTAAATTTGGAAAATAGTCAGCCCAGTTTTCTAACCAAAAAGTATTGTCGTTATTATTGTTTAGTGTTTATTGAATTGAACAGAGATTTAATAAAGTTTTAAAAAACCAAATTTTAACAAAAATTATTATAATATTGTACAAAATATTTCTGGCTTCAAGTGTTGAATGTATTGATAACAAATATTGAGATCTTATATATTGATGTTTAACAATATAGTTGAACAATATAGTGTCTTTTAATTAACATTATTAGACAATTAAAATTCGGCATTGTCTGGAACAGTAGAGATATTGAAATGAGACCTTTGGACATACAGCAAGACATGCATCTGATCGTAATATGTGATAACTACTTTGTTTTGAACCGATTTCTATGAAAAATTTTATTTTTATAAAATTGTGTTGGTTTTTTATTAATTTGGTTTTTATAATGAAGGTCACATTCTATATAATTTTCCGATGTTTTCGTGGACCTTAAATCTGCACAAAATATGGAGTGAAAAGTAATTTTATGTTTCTTGTAAAGCTTTTGGCTGGCTATTAATAAGAAAAATTTTATAAAAAAAAACGAATACATCTTTTGGGTATTAAACATATGATTAAAAAATTCCATTAAAAAATTTCTATTTATTGCACATTTTCACTTAGGAAATTTGATGTTATATAAAATAGAAAATTTTTTACACACATTTGCCAATATTTCAAGCTTTGAAAAATTAAAAAGTAGTAAAATTTTTAAAAAAAGTTTTAATAATAATTTTAATTATTAATAATTTTTATTAATTTATTATTTTTTATTTTATGTTATTAGGACTTAGAGAGTTTAAAGTTGGTCCAATTTTTGCAAGATCTCAATTAAGCTAAAATATCATTAGGTTGCAAATATCTTAATTACTAATAACTTAAGCGGATCACTTCTATCTAAGTTATATTTTTACATATATAATAATTAGGAATAGATTAATTGAAGTAAAAAGACTTATTTTTATTAAATAATAAACAATTATTTATGAAAATTTGTACGTACATCATATACGTATAGTACTACAGTATAATGTATATTACTACAGTACAACTATAGCACTCTACTACCTCACTCCTTTCACCCCTGTACTGTATTCAGTGTTGGCCTGTCGCTGTAATACTATACTTCTTTACATACATTCAAATTTTATGGACGGCTGAATAACCCATTTACACTGGCCGCAAATGACTCATTTCAAATCAGTCATTTGAAAGTGTTTACATCCGTTGTTCTTCAATTGTTCTCATTTCAAACAGCTGATTTGTCAACGTACCTGTTGATTTGTTTTTTGGCCTGTGCCAAAAATATGTTGGTTTAAAGTAAAATATTCCTTTAAACCTTACAATATAAACTGAATACTTATTTTTGTCTTTGATTAAGAACTTTTTAAGAAGTAAAAGTTCCAAAAAGAGGTGCTTCATTTTCAAGGAAATGCAACCACCAAATATTTGTTTTTCCTTTTTTTAAATATATCAAAAACAGCTTTTTTAAACTGTCAAAATGTCATGTAAAGCTTTTACTTATGTATTTATTTGCATTTGGAACTCATTTGAAACTCGTTGGAACTCATTTGTACAAAATCCGCAAATGAAACGCATTTGCACATATGAGATTTTGTATGCAGAAATCAATCATTTGCTTCTCATTTATGTTTTTTGACCCAAATCACTTATTTGAGCCAGTGTAATTGCCATATAATAGATTTTCTTATACCCGTCAAATTTTATGTAACACATTAGTATATTTTTAATATTGACAACTCTGTACGTATTTCATATTGACATACATTTTCTTTGGACTTAAAAAAATTCGTGTGTAAATAAAATGTTTTACTTACTAGACATTCCAACAGCCTTAGATATACGAAGCCATACAGCCCTTTTCTTAGAACGACTACTGAAGCCACAATAAGTTTTATCCCATAATAAGCGATTTTTCTTAACCAATGAAATAATTTCGTGACGACTGTCAGTGCGTGGCTTTGCTTCCATAATTAAAATGTTAATTTAAATTTTAATACTAATTTTAATTATTGCGTTTTAACACTAATTATTTTAGGTACAAAACCCCAAAGAACAAACTCAGGCCACAATTTTCAGTCAACTGTCTGCAGTCTGCCTTCTGTTGTCTGCCGACACTTTTATTTGTATGAACACAAAACTGTGAGAGAAATTCAGAAACTGCATCACATTCGCAATTATCTTATCTGAGAACATATAGCTATCTATCTCATTCCTTCGCTTAATAAGTAAATGGCAACGTATTTGCTGTTAAACAAGCTTCTCTCACTTGCCATTCGCGCCTCTCATCATACAAGCGACAGCTGTGAGTTTTTAGCCATACAACCGTTGAAGCTACACAGCATACGTCATCAGCGAATACAAAGCGCAAAACGTAAAAAAGTAAACACAGCGCATTTAGGTGGTCTTCATACAATTTTGTTTTTGCTTTTATTTGTTTTGTTTAGCTTCAAATGTCGGTTGGAATTTTCATTTCTTGCGGTGCTTCATTATATAAATGTGTACATCACGATTTGAGAAATTTTTACACATGAAAACTAGCGAATATACGTATAGTGTTGCCATACTTTTTTAATGAAGTAATAAAGTAAATGAAGTAAAGAAATATAATAATAATAATAATTATAATAATAATAAATAATATAATAATAATTTATTATAATAAAATTATAATAAATAATAAATTAAATATATGATGTAGGTAAAGTACTATATAATCTATACGGTGACCCAAGGATAAAAGTCTATAGAATAAAACTATGTGAATATACTGGGTTGATTGATAAATACCTTGCTTTGCAATAGGTGGCAATGACAACAAAATCTATCCAATTCCAATTTGATTGCAGAACAAAATCCATTCATTTCCAATTCGATTGCACCATTTTATAAAATATTACCGAGGTGCAATAATATTTCAGTATATACACCTAGTAATACTTCCTAGGTCGAGTTTAGCATCTCAGACTAAAGCTAAATTTATAATAACAAAATAAAATGTCTAAAGAAGAACACAATGCTATCAATATTATTCTCTATCTTCAATACGCTCTAAACAAAGATGCTACAATTTTATAAATTCCTGTAACTAGTGCTAGAGTATGTATAATATTCAATTACAATGGATATCAGAACTTCCCTTGACGATAATTATTGTGTTCTAACCAGGGCTTCGAACCGGAACCGAAAAAAATATATCGGTCCTTGAGCTCAGTTCAGTTTACATCTAGGACAATCTTTAATTGCTACAAATCTCTAAATGAGATGTTGACATAGTTCAATATTTCTCTAATCTGAGCTCCCAATCATGGGGATATTTTCGGTAATTGCAAAGAAGAGGAAGTAGCCAGACGGGGTGTTTCAGTAAACCATCCGGAACACCTAAACTTTTTGGGGATATCGTTGACATCATGCAAATTGTCATTGAGTCCTTCCTGTGCCGAACTTTTTAATAAAAGATGGGAAGACTAACGGTATACAGGAATCTGTATACAATTTGTCCACGCTCCAATATAAGAAAATCAAATACTCTCATTGAGATTCCCCGTAGAGATATCAATCTTGAAGTGAGTTTATTTACAGGACATTGTATTTTATGTAAGGATGCCAAACGAATAAATCTCGCTTTTAATCATACCTACCGCAATGCGATGAAATCGGGTGATTTCAGCTAATTTTTTCTTTTATTCTTAACTTTTGGGAAGGCAGTTTTTATATAAAATTAAATATGTCGGATATATAAGTAAGCAAATATGAATATTATGGAAAAAATGGTTATTTTCCAATCTTTGGGGCTCTTGGGACGCCATTTCCACTTATCCAATTGAACTAAAATTTTACATAGATTATTTTTTTAGTAAATTGAACCAATCTGGAGGGTGCAGTCAACCAATTTTTCGAAAAAAAAAATTGCTCATATACCTTAATGGCATCCTAATACTATATATATACATTGACTCAATCACTGATTCTATAAGAAAAGTTCAATAGCTCTAGGTATTAATTCTTACATCGTATTCAAATTAAGCACTGAAGTTGTCACATCAAATCAACAAAAGCATGTCTAATGCTTTATGCTACTATTCATTATTTTAGATACTATTATAAATTATTTTAAATACTTTTTAAATTTATTATTACTAATAAATTAAGTAAATCTCTTAACACAAAAAAAATTCAGATATTTTAATGTCAAGCATTGAACTCGAGTCTATTAGCCCTTCAAAATTTGTGCATTCAACCCAAAAAAAATTTATATAAAAAGTCAGTGGCACCTGTGTATCCATATCTCTCCTAACTGCCTAAATCAGTTCAAATGTTGAACGCATTAAACTGAAGTTATTGATCCTTCCACAGCTGCTTACTCACCAGCTAAAAGCCAAACGCGTGACTATGATTCACGTTTATATAAATGCCATGGAATTAAAAATAGACTACGAGTAAAAATGAAACATCCTAAATAAGTCAACACCAGTCAGCCAGAATGCAAGTAATAAAATTTCCCAGTGA